TGCTGGACTGGCACCCCTGCGCCCTGTTCCTCAGCCGCTGCTCCCACCGCAACCTCCCCGAGTGTCTGCAGGGCCCTGGGAAGGGCTCCACCCGCGGCCCTGCCCCTCCCCGTGGACGCAAAGGACCCTCAGCAGCTCGAGGAGATGCGCCCCAGCGGTACCTGGAGGCCTAGACCTGCGAGCGGAAGCGGCAGATCTGATGGCGAAGGGGGAGCCAGACTTGGTGTGCCAGGTGACTGAATGTCTTATTACCATGAAGTCAGTCAACAACACGGAGAGTCAGACCCCTCTGAGCTCTCGGGGTCGCTGGGACCGCTCACGGCTGCCTGGGGGAGACCCGGCCTTGTGCCCGGGCCTGGGGTGCAGAAGACCCGCAGGCTGTTGCATGTCCTACAGGAACCCTTCTTGCAAGTGCCCCCATGGCCTCAGGTACCCAGGAGGCCCTCTTGTAAGTATAAAGCACTTCCCGGTTGTTTTGTGTGTTGTTTGTTTTTGTGTTGTTGTTTTTTTTTTTAAAAAGCAGTGGTTGTTTCAAATCCTAGCTCAGCCACTTACTGTGTGACTGGTGGGTGCATTATACCTTTTCTCTTACACTTAGTTTTCTTGTCACTAAAATGGGGATAAAACTAGCTTGGGTTGCTATAATGAGTAAGTAAGCTAATGTCTCTAGGTCTGTATTGACTGCAGTGTTTCAATGATTGCTGTCCCTTTGTTGTTGTCCTCAAATTATCTCTATTTAAGGGATGTTCCCTATAACTCTAAGCCCCATAATATCCCTCTTGGGAATGACAACGTACAGAAGCTGAAATGCCTGGGTGCATTGGAGGATTGCTCGGTCTAGGGAAAGGCTTGCTGCCCTAAAGGCTAACCTCCCACCCTCCCACCCTGCGGTGCAGAGGCTTCGAGAGTTTGCCACTGGGGGTAAGTTTAGGTGGAGGCCTCTGTGTGAGAGACTGGTGTGCTCGCTTTGATCAGCCAGTCTGGCATGGTTACACAGAGACAGATTTCCTGATCTATTTTGAATGTTGGCGTGTTGTTTGGTTTTTTGTGGGTTTTTTTTTTTTTGGTGTTTTTATTTTCATTAAAGACATCTCAATTTTGGAGGCAATTTCTCCAAATTAAAATAAGGTAATAAGTCTCTTAGGTAAAGGAGACAGCGGTGACATGCAGTGGCATTGCTGGTCAGTCGCAGAAGAGCGAGGACACAGTTTGAATCTCAGTGGGAGGGTTTCTGGGACAGGTAGGTAGAAGGCATTGAGTTGCTGTAAGAGTAAAATGAACACTGATCAGTGACCTGAGACTGGCTGGTCAATGCGTAAGGTAAGGGGAAAACCTCTGAAACCTTTCAGAGATGCCTGGTCATCCCCATGGAGGAAGATACCAGAGTAAGAAAATCGTCTTGACCTAAGTTAGTTTCCAGTGTCAATGGCTGTGTTTTCTTTTCTTCAGTGTTTCATATTATTCTGATATTAAAGAGATTACGTCTGTGTCCAGAGGAATAAAAATCATCAGAAATATAGTTAGTTCTTTTCAAATGTGGCCTTTCTACCTTCTTTTGTCCTCGCACGCACATATCATCCCTTTTCTTTCTGCTTTCACGTCTTGTTTCCCCAACCTCCACACTCTGCACAGGTAAAACCAATTTTACTACCAGTAAGCTTATGTTGGGAGGGAGACAGCTTGCCTCCATGCTCAAAATAACCAATGAAGTTTGCTTCTGAGTTTACCTGATTGCTTTTCTAAATGTGGCTTCTGATCCCCCCTCCATGAATACTCTTATTTCAAACTTCGAATGTTAACTCCTTTGAATAGTAGTTGAGCTGTAATGTAGCCCATGAAAGAATCACTGTTTTAAACCTCGTTGTCAAGAAAATGAGCCCTTGCTAAGCCTTTGTGCAGAGGTCTGTTCTGAGGATGTTTCCTACACCTTGAAGCTGTCCCACCCGGCACTAGCGAGGAGGAAAGATCACATCCAACCACACGCGTTGCTTTGTTTTTCCACCCTCCAAAATGTGAGCGGTTATGGTTTGAGGATAATGGTTCACTTAACAGATTTTGATTTTTACCACTGACTTGGTAGAGAAGCAGTTATCACTGCGAAGAAAGTTTGCCATGATAACTACTATGAATAAGTATTTTTTGTATAGCTGAATGAAAGGTACATGAAACATCGATGACAATGAATGAAGAAACGAATGAGACAAGTTGGAGCTCCATGATGATGGCATTTCTGCCATGTCTTTGTTAACATCTTTCCTATCTCAGGACCCCATGGTACCTATGTGCACCCAAAGGCCTTTTTTAGATCACGTTATAGTTGGGATCAAGCAGGTGGACAGCGGACCATCTGAGTTCAAGCTACCCTCTTGAAGAGTCCGATTTTACGGTCTGATGGGAAATTACTTTTGTTCTTCAAGATCACAAGGGTGTGTTACCCACTAAAACATAAGGGGAAAGACATTGCCCTTATGTTTTTTGGGTTTTTTTGAAAAAGTCCTCCAGATCTCATGAGATCAATTTTGGATGCTATTGCATGTGAAGAAGTACAAATTGTGCCTGTTTCCTTTTGTCAGTCCAGCACAGTTCTCAGTGTCCTCAGTTTTTCATGTAATGCTTTCCAGATCTGAACATCTTTCCAATAGTGGCCTTTATGCATTTTAATGATATTTAATGAGTTGCCTTTTATCCAGCCTTAGTCTCAAACTATATTAAAAATCAATGATTATAACAATTCTAATCATCTGATGTGATGTTGGACAGTTCAGGACTAGTCCCAGAATAATGAAAACCAACAACAAAACAACCAAGAACAATGAAAGGCTATGATACTTTCTTGCCCTAGATTTCTTTGCTGTGCTTCCCAAACTTATATAATATAGATTGATGGTTGTATGTGGTGTTTGTATTGTGGTCAAGGTTATGAGAACTATGCCACAGAGTTTATAGTCATATTGCAGGCCGAAGATGGTTAAACTGACAAAGATAATAACCTGAATGGTTTTGCACATGGTTTTCTAACTTCTGCTGTAGTGTTAACCAGATGGGATGTTAGCAGCCCATGACTGAAATGAAAAAGAACATGGAATGAGCAGGAGATGAATGAATGACAAGATAAATAATATATTTCATTAGAAAAATATGCAAATACACACCTTTTTGCTTATCACATATGATGTATTGATTTATACATATAGACAGCATAAGCATTTCACAATTTTGGCACAATGTTCAATTCTATAATAAGCTATTTTGTTCGTCAGCCCCTACTGTATTAGCTAAATAACATCTAGAATATTTTAGCAAAATATTATCACAGTTGTACTAGAGCTGCCTGAAATACACTGCTTTCCATGTCTGTAAACAAAAATAGACTACTACATAAACACTGTGATTGAAAAAATACCCTCTTTATAACTTCTCCCTTACCTTCAGCAAAGGAGACTTAGCTACTTTAGTATCCAAAATATTTTTCTGAAAGAATATACTTTCTGGGGGGTGGGAATGGGGGTGCACTATATATGTAACCAAAACAAATTAATTTTTTTGTCTTACCACAACTAAATCACTTCTAGGCAGTAGCATAAGATATCATAGATTAGACGAAATTTGCAGGGTTTCGATGTATCTCCTCACTTAGCATACCAATTGAATAATGATCACTCTGATTACTGTGGCAAATTCACATATTAATTTCAGGTGCCATTAATGATACTGATTTATTCAGGGATTTTTGAAGGTTTTATACTGAGGATGTAAAGAGAGATATGGGAATATAATTTTGGGCTTCAATGAGAAACTACTTTTATTTTAAATAAATTTGTATATGGTTAAACTTGTAGTGGTTACATATTTTTTTCCTCCTCCGGTTTGGCTAATCATTGCAAACAGAGGTCAACCAGAAACTGATTTCTAATCAGCCGTATTGAGTCTTCCTGGGAAAGACTGGGATCTTATTAAGCTGTGAAGCTGAGTGGATGGCAGTTAATAGACTTTTAGATGAGTTATCAATTCGAATTATCTTTTACTGCTAGATAGCACCCAAGGGTGAGGTAATTGGCTTTATAAAATTTGGAATGGTTTTCTTTACAAATCTTAGAATTTAGGAAAGTAGAGCACTCTCTTTAAAGAGAATATTCTCTTCCATTAGGAATTACATTTTTGGCAGTTTTGTGAAAAATTTAGCAAAGGGTTCTTTGTGACCTCCCAATTTGTAAATGTCAGCAACTAAAGCATATTCAACATGAAGGCCAATTCCTTACAAAAGTGAGGGCTGCCCAGTGGACAGGATTATCCAAAACCAGGCTGAGCATACAATGTGAACAAACCAATTCACAAATCGGCCCATTTAATGTTTCGAGCAAATTGACTCAAAGAAAATTTTTTTTTTCATTCAAAGCATTACGTCTTCCTGCCAAGTACAGATCTTTCCCCTACATTCTTGGTCATCTCTATATTCGAAAGCCGCTTTGTCTTGTGGAGGTCCTGCTGTAATTTGTGTGGTTTACATGGTGTGGATGGTAAAACATTTGAGTAACAACGGAATTGATTGAAATAAATAGATTAGAAGTTTAGATCCATAGCCAAATACAGAAATATTCTAATTCAAATTTTAGAGTTAAAAGTGAAAATATTGACAGTGATTTTGATTTTTGAAGGTATAAATGGCTCAAGATTTTACAATGAGCACCCTGGATCTGAACTCGGTCAATTTAATTGTTTTCCTTGAATACCTTGCTTGCATTACACCTGCATTTCAGTCCTAGATGAAAGATGGAATTTACAAGTGTTGGCAGTGGGAGACTCCATTCCTTAGACTGTCTCCCATAGCAATAGTACCAAGAAGAACATTCTTCAGATTCACTATGGATAAAATCACTTAACAATTCTTCACAAATGATGTATCTGACTCCTGGGAGGATGGTGATCACTTTAAACGCATGGGTGGACTTGCTCCCAGGATGTGAAGTCTCAGAGATCGCGATGCTGTATTTGCTTTACATTTAAGCGCACGACTCCTGCTCTAAGATTTCCAGTGGGATGATCTCGTGAATCTCCTCGCCCAGGTTGACTTCGGCTTCGTATGGGGCGTCATTGTTGTTCCCCTCCAGGTTGTTGGCAGCCGCGTGGTTCCTCGGGTCTCGGTGGCAGATGCACACGGGGATATCGCCAGGATCGGCATTGGTTGCAGCCGCAGCTGCAGCCAGAGCTGCCAGCATAATATTGTATTTCTGCCGGCGGTTGGCGTATCCGTTGCGCTGCTCCCAGCGGATTTTGCACAGTTGCAGACGGCGCGTCAGGGCCTCTTGGACCTGGAAGAGAAAAAGTCTTGTCATCATATAATTGTCAGAAATGACCCAAGCCAACTTTAGGAGCACAATTCTTGGAACTTATCAGAGGTTCAAAGCGGTTGGTTGAATTGTAAATCTGATCTGAAGAACTGTATGGTATATACTCTGGCTGTGCAGAGAAGAAGAATTTGCAAATTGGAGCACTTGTTACTTGTCTCAGCTATCATGGGCAAGGTGACTTACTACTATGCAAAGGTTTCTTCTTTCGCTCTTAAGTCCAATGAGTGAAATTTGATTTGGTTTCACACTCAATAAATGGCATACACATCACATTAGGGAGAAGGAGGTGGAAAACATTTTATCTGCTACCGTCTCTGACAAGGCAGAAGCTTTCATCTGAACCTCTACATTATTGGTCATGAAAATATATATGCAAATCATAGCACAGTTCTGGGTTTTATAATTTTGTTGATTTTCCTTAATCTGATATGGCCAGAGAGAACTCTGGTTAGCGGAGTGACAATCTTTTCAGGATAAAATTATCTCTTTCTATGGATAGACTTCTAATACATAAACAATTCTCTTTAGGATTTAGATTTTTTTTTTACAATGTATTTTCCTGTTCGAACTAGCCAAGAATTGGCATGACTTTACTTGGGTTGTTCTTTCCTTTAAACATGGGTCCTTAAAAATCAGGTTTATAATCTAGGAGCCACCAAATGCGCTGTTGAGGACCTAGGAAACATTTTGTTTCAGCATATTTTTGGAGAAGCAACGTCCCCAGACAAAGGTAACTGATAATTTCCACCCATTCAGCATTTCTCAAATACCAACACTGTCCTTATAAATAAAACTTAAACAGATAATCAGAAGTATCCAAGGTAGACAGTAGTCAGTATAGATGAGTTTGTAAAAGTACCCAGCGGAAATAAAACAGGAAGTCTTTGCTTCTTCTCACCTGCCCTTTTCAAATAATCCCCATTGCAGTGCCATGCATATTAATTAAGTACCCAGCTCAGCACGAGGCCAAGGGTTTGAAGCCTAATTTTTTAAAATTATTACTACAGAAGTGTTCATAGCCCTCTATCATTGTATTCCAAAATTATAACCTATCCTTTTGTGTGGAGATGACAATCTGCGTTAATTTGTAAACCACACATATTAGAATGGGGCCTTAAGCGGCTAGGTTTCAATAATTACACTTTAATAAGGGCAATTATTTTCTACAATACCGCAGATTGAGTCTGATGCTGCTTTGATCCAAGAATAAGGACATTAAATCTGAAAAAAAAAACACCCCCCAAAAACAAAAAACAACAACAAGGAGACTTTCGTTGCTCCTGAAGCATCAAGGGGGCAATCCAAGCAAATCAGGACTTAGCTGCCCGTCTGAATACTAGCTGCAATTGTGCCCCACGAGCATAGAAAAGACTCAGTGGTAGAAAAACACAACTTGGCTAGTCATGTAACCCTGTAAGGAAAACTGTAGAAGTGGGGCCACATGAAAAGAGGCCCTTTGGAAACTGTGAAGTATTGGCTTTCCATAAATGAGTGGCGGTATCACGTGAAAGGCATGCTTACGGTGGTGTTGTAGAAGCAGTAAATCATCGAAACGAAGAATCCCTGTAAAGAGGAGGAAGGGTAGAGCTGGAGTTACTTTTGTGTGCATTACACTGTTTAGCCATCAATATAATTAGTCGCTCTGGAGAGGAACATTTTACTGTTGCGATAGCAAGTCAAGGCTCGATGAAAAGCAGTTACTACCACTCATATTCGGTGCTTCCCTACCAGAGTATGCCATGTATTTTTCTTGTTAGAAGAATTCTGTCCTTTAGTTAAAAGGATAGCTCTGGTCAGTACGGTTCATTTGCTGCTGCCTTTAACATGAAGATTTATAGCAGAAGATGCTGATGAGAGCGGATTTGAAAAGAATGTTTTGTACTTAATTTAAAAAACTGAGACCTTGTAGAGTTTAGTAAAGAAAACTTTTGCAGGCACGAGTGTCACAGTGCCTGGCTGTGGGCCTGACTGCGCCCTTGTCTTCACGGTGAACTAGTGCAGTTCGTACCCACAGCCAAGTTCGTCTCTCAAAGAAGGGCACAGACTAAGTGACCTCTGAGATCCTGGCCACTTCTCAGAAGTTCCCTTACATTTAAGCTTTAATTATCAATAGAAATGGCCAAAGCAATTATTAAAACAATCCCTAAACTTTATTTTTAGCCCTATTAATTTTGACCTCCAGTAGTAGCAAGTATAATTACTTTGAAATTTATAATCAAGACAGCAAAACTCTGGCCTAAGAGCCCGTGGCAGACTCACCTCTGCCTGAGGACCCTCCATGCCCCAACCTGCTTTCAAAATACCTAGTACTATGTCTTCAGTGGGTCTGTGGACCTGGGGCAGAGTGAATGGAAACAGCCGTTCTCCATTTTTGTGTGGCAGACCTGGGGAAGCTCCTGAGAGCCCAACTCTGTTCTCTCCCACAAGAGGACAGACCTGAATGCACTTCCCTTTACAGTCACTGAACGTGACCGATGGATTCCTGACACCCCTGTGACCAACGGAGGGTGACAGAGCAGAAGCCATGAATGGCTCTGTGCAGTTCATTACACCTCATCGCAAAACTGATTCAGTGTTTACTGATGAAAAGAGGTTCTGCAAATTACCAAGTGGGAGAATATGCCCATTCTCTGGAGTCTGCCTACCATTGCAGGAATGGCTGACCTTATAGATATTCTATAGGGTCCTGACCTCTCTAATCATGGTCAAGGTAATCAAATGAAATAACTGAAAAAACTGGATTCTAGTTTAAGAGGGATACAGCTTCCAGCTCGGGGTCCAGCGGAAGATTTCATCCAGATACAACATCTGCTTCTCTGCTCTGTGTTTTCAAGGTGTGAGCGACTATGTTGATGGTAACCTAGCTGAGCAGGTATGGAATAGACACACTCGTGGCTTCCTTACCTGGAAATGACTCAGAAAGTGCATCACGTAGTCATAGACTCGGGCAGGAATCTTGGTGTGAGGCCTCCAGGGTAAGATCACAAACTGGATTCCCAGCAGGGGCACCAGGAACAGAGTGGCCTTCACTGCCTTCAGATACCGTCTGCCGTCATGCTGACGGTCATTCTTAATCTTCTTCACGAGCACACGGAGGATGTTGAGCAGAAAGAAGAAGTTGACCTGCAAAGATATGATGTTATGAATGAGCAGACCATCCAGATCAGTACCACTGAAGGACACCCACTTTCCTTCATTCTTTATTCAATGTGGGGAGCAGAGATGACCTACACAGGACGTGAGACTGCCTCAAAGGGCATATTCTTACTAGTCATGTGATTTTGGGTGAGTTTACTTGAGTCTTTGGATCTAGCTTTCCTAATGAGTAAAATATCCTGGTGATGAATCTCCTTTGAAGGGCTGCTATTAGAAACAGCATGGGAATGCATGTGAAGTGCATGAAATACTTTAAGTGCATGATCATTGGTAGGTAGGGTGATGGCTCATGTATCAAAGATAAAGTGAAAGATAGTTTTGCTGGGCAGAGCCCAGGGGAAAAAGTGCAGGGGGACTTTGCTGTCCCTCACTTTCTTAACAGCAACATCTTCAACACTCCTCAGCCCTTGCTCTTTACCTTTAAGAGAATTTGGTTGTAGTATTGTTTTTTTAAAAAAACTTAATCTTTGGTGTAGGGTGTATAGAAACGAGCTTATGCACCCCCTCCCATTTTATTAAATACAACATTTTTTTTTCAACTGAAGACTCTCAAATCAAATTGTTATTATAGATCATCATTTAATTAGCTTCATTTAAAAATTTTAATATATATGCTATATAGAACCATCTTCAAAGAAATCCTAGATAACATTGTTAGCAATAGACTTAAAAAGCAGTTCTCACCGTCAGTGCTGCCATGATAGGGCCGTGGATGATGTAAACCAGATAGGTTTCCACACTCATCCAGCAGCTGAAAAAAAGGGTGGGAGAGAATATATCAGTATCGATGCATTTTACTTACATGTATTTATTTAACTAAAAACTGCCACAATACCTGTCATTGAAGTGCTTCAGCCTAGCAAGAGCATGGGTTATAGTTGGCACCACCGGGAACCCTAAAAATGTAAAAAAGTGTATATTACACCTGGTTTTCTGGTCATAAGTTACAACTACAATTGAATGGAAAATGGTAGTTTACTTTAAAAAATAGTGGCAAATTTAACATCTCTGTCAAGATATTTCCCTGATGTGTTTGCACAAATTATCTTTGGTCAAACCAGGTAAATATGTTCTTGGTTAGAATACCATGTGCTTTCAGGGAGTTTGGTTAAGAGCACCCAAATAATTATGGTAGGTATAGTCTACTCTTCCTAGGACTGCTCTACCATTGTTTTGTCTTGATGATGGTGATGATGATGACTTAGACCTGAAAGCCTTTCATTGTGTGTGAACTGGGCTCTCTCATGGGGAGAAGCTGGTCCCCTGGAGGGATGTGACCTGGGACAGCATGTGGAAGTGGTCGTGTGATTGCTCTGAAAGCCTTGTTAGTGTTTGCAGTATTCCTTCTCGGCCGTTTGTGTTCCTGTTTGTGTCATGTGCATCGATCCTGTTCTCTTTCAATAAGAACACTTCAGAAGAGCCAGTGTAAGTTCTGGCTGCAGAACCTTTGTGAAGGCAGCGTAGTATTGACTTCTCTGCCTACACCTGAAGTGCTAATGGAAACAATTTTGAATTTATAAACAGAATGATGGAGATAGTTACTGGCAATGCATCCTACCAGGTTGCATCTTTTTAAAAATAAATGTTCATTCTCTGCAGGATGTCTAGAATACAGTTGTGATTTTCGTAAGAAAAATATATCTGTTTTTCTCAGATGTACCCATGTACAACAGAGTATGACTTAATTTGGTTTGAAAAATCTGTTGAATGAGTTTTTAAATAATTATCAGGCTAAGAAATGTGTCTCAGAAGTATATTAGACTTACACACTTTGATTTTCTGAGAATTATATGCAAAAAGAGAGTGCCTGAAAATATTGAGTTTTCACCAGAGAACCACCTCACCTTCTAAACCCATGAAGCATATAATTTAATAGGAACATCGATTAAATGTTTGACCTGAAAGAATTTTGAGTTTGACTATTTATACAAGACATAATTGCGTTGTATCCACAGCAGTTCTAACATACTGTTTTCCCACTTGGGTTTAGAGATATCCATTCCCTGGATTTATTCTGAAATACATACTTTTAATTAGACAACAAGAGAGGCATATGGAGATTTCACTCTCATCTCATCATTTTGTAGAAAGGAAAATGTGTTTCTTACATATTACATAGAGGAGTATAGGCCACAAATCTGCTAATTCCTATGGCTCTTTGCCTTCCTCTAGACAGGATACCTCTTTTTCTGCACTTAAAAAAAATCCTCACTCAAGAATATGTTTATTGACTTTAGAGAGAGGAAGGGTGAGAGAGAGAAAGAGAGAAACATCGATGTGAGAGAGAAACATCGATCGGTTGCTTTCTATGTATACCCCAACCAACCTAGGTATGTGCCCTGACTGGGAATCGAACCTGCAATCTTTTGCTGTCTGGAACGATGCTCCAATCAACTGAGCCACCTGGCCAGAGCTCATTACGTTCTTTTTGATACAGTTGAACAACTTGTTCCTTTTCTCCTCTGAATTGTTTATGCATGTTAAGCATATGTCTTCATTGATCTGTCTATGATGATGATGATGATGCTGAAAGCTTTTATAACTCATTCACAATGTAACAGTATGGAAAGAGCAGTATAAATTGTTCCTTCCAGGGTGCCCTCATCCTTGCGAATGTCACAGGCAAGAATAAATGTACATCCTTTTTCTTCCATGAAAAATTGTTGAGTATGGAAGATGGGTGTTCTTAAATAGTCAAAACTGGTACAAGAAGTATGCCATACATTTATTTCAAAAGAAGTAAGTAAAATAGATCAGACAGAAATGGTGTCTCTCTGTGTGGGGGTGTATGGGGCAGGCCTGGTTGAGATGTTATTTTCAGGTCTTCAATTGAAAGGCATCTGACCAGCACCAATCATTACTCTTGTGATGATCAGAATTGCTATTGGGAGGCTTAAATTATATCCAGTTGATTCTTGGCATGACCAGCTTTTGGAAGATTAGAAATTCTTGAAAGGGTGTGTTTGAGACTGAGAAGGGCAGGGAAGGAAAGATCAACCTCTTATGCAAGGCTGGAGCTAAAAAAAACCCAAAAAACAATAAAAGCCCATTTTGATCTTTGTATTCTGAGTTGGTTTGAGGACAGAGAAGAACAGGAGAACCTAGCACCTGTGGTGGGGCCAGTAGATTAGTCAGAAACCTGATTTCTAATTTCACTGGATGGTTAAGGAAATGGGATTCTGGGCTGCTGCTGCTACTCCCCAGGGTGGCGTGGCCCACAAGGTGAGCCGTCCAGTTCACAATCTATACCAGAGCTGTCCCTAGGCAATACTTGTTTGATCTGCTTCTATGACTTCCCAGACACCTTCTATACAATTGGTAACAATGTCTGTTGGGCAGGGATTTAAATATTAAGGTTGATGTTCTTAGAAAGCTTTTGGATTATCCTCCATCCTCAGTAAATACTTTCTCTCTTATCCATATTTTTAGGAGCTTCCCAAAATGTGGCATTAAAGGGCAGGTTTAGATGAAAATACTCCACAGCCTCTGCTCCGAGTCACAGTCATCTTATCAATGGAGAGCAGAGGCAGCCTTGGCCCTCCAGTAAGAATCCTCCTCTGGTAAGGGAGTTTCATGGGATTTTTTTTTAAAATAAAGCAGCATGTGCTTTTGTCCCAGAGCCTTTTCCCACTCACTACCTCATTCTCTACCTGCTCCATTGTAACCAGGGTGAGCTAGGCTGTTAGCAGCCCCGAGGGAAGGGGAACAATTCTAAAGAGTCCTCATGGACCATAGCACCTGCCTTAGTCAATCTACAGAAGCGGTCACAGCTGAAGCAACCCAGGGATAGGATTTTAAAGCCATTACCATGTGCAATGATGTCAGATGGGCTCTATTTGGAGGCCTATGTTGTTACATCTATTGCTCATCTAAACTCCACTTCTTGACCTGTCAGTGGAGGAATCCTGCTGTTGGATTGATAGGAAGGAATGTTCTTGAGGAAGGGATGTGGGTGAGGGTGAAGGACATACAGAATTCAAAATGTGGAATTCTCCTTTGCTCTACAAACAGATGAAAAATAAAGCTGAAAGGGGGCCTACTCAGATCTTCTCTCAACCAGAATATGGTTCTGCCTCTCCATTAGCTGGGTTACCTGAATACGTTCATAATCATATCCCATTTCCGCACTGACCCCTATGTTCATCACAGTCTGTATAAACTTGTTAAAGGGCTTCTACCAAGTTCTCTTGGAGACTGAACTCTTTCCAGCATCTCAAAGGACCAGGGCCCCTGATTGGTCTCTCAGACCAAGATTCCAAGAACATTATAAATATACAGATAGAGGTGAGACTGGCTCGAAACTCAGTTGGAGGAAATACATACCCCAGCCCAAGAGATAATACAACTTCATGTTTTGTTCCCCATTGAACACGTTCACCACAAGGAGTTTGTGCAGATAGATCCCTTCACAGAGCATCCAGAAATAATTGCATAACATCAAGTAATGGTTGATACAATTCAGAATCTTGCAGCTCAGCTGTCAGAAAGAAATGGAGATACTCAGTGGAAGATACAGGCAAGGATTTGACAGTAAACAGAGGGTAAATGTGACAATGAGTCAAAGTATCTGCATTCAGCCCATATTCAGCATCCCCGAGCATCTGTTAACACATGCCACCCTCTGTATCCACAAATCAGAGTCATGGTGCATAGGTCATTTGTACTACATATAAACAGCCATCTAGGGGAATGGAAGCCTAGTCCCTAAAATGTTCTTTTTCTATTATACTTTGATGACTTGCATGGATTAGACAAATTTATTTTTCTTCAATGAGTCTGAGACCCATCATTTTCTAGAACCGCCAAGGATCTGTCACATGACTTTTAAAGCACCTTTTCTATGGCCAATGAAGTGAATAACTCAGAAATGGTTAATGCTGCTCCTGAAGTTCATTGATACGTTGGTGATATCTCTTCAGGCACAAAGAGGAGATAACCAGGGGATGCATTTGTCATATATGATCCAGGAGCTATGCTGAACCCAACTGATGACTTCTGCTCTAGTTACTTGCTGGCCTTTTAGTGCTGATAATCTTAACCATCCAAGAGCATAAGCTCCCTGTTCCAGCAGAGTCACAATGCAATGGGACCTTCCTGATTTTGATCCATATATACACTAAAACCTCAGGAGGAGGAACTATAGAACTTCCTATCAAGATGTTAGTGCAGTCGGTAAACTAAGGGGCAAAAAGGTTCGGTCAACTTGAAAACTGTCAATGTGTACATTCTCTAAAGCTAGCTGAGTGAAGGAGGAAAATCCCCCACCCAGAAAGTCAGCATTAACTGACTTTGTAGGGAAGTACTGAAGTGTCTCCAGAGGAACCTAAAGGTATAACATTTTTAATTAAATGTGACTGTGTCATGCAATCCTGAGCTGATTTCTGATAAAGCCTTAGAGAAAATGAATTGAGTCTGTGGAACTATAGACATGATTCGGTGTGTTTGGGCGAAGGGGGAAGCACTGGAGAAAAAAAGTCCCATCTGAGATAAGTACATTGGAAGATGATCCAGGAAGTGGCCAAGGAAGCATTCTGGAAATGTTCAGCAAACCAAAATACAGTCAACAGAAAAGCAGGATACACAGTGGAAAAGAAAGTCTGCTGGCAATGCAGCAGGGGAATAAGAATTAACGGCTTGCTACGCTCAAGAGTCTTTCTCTATATCAGCGGTTCTCAACCTGTGGGTCAGGACCCCGTTGGGGGTCAAACGACCCTTTCACAGGGGTCGCCTAAGACCATCGGAAAACACATATATAATTACAGATTGTTTTTGTGATTAATCACTATGCTTTAATTATGTTCAATTTGTAACAATGAAAATACATCCTGCATATCAGTTATTTACATTACGATCATAACAGTAGCAAAATTACAGTTATGAAGTAGCAATGAAAATAATTTTATGGTTGGGGGTCACCACAACATGAGGAACTGTATTAAAGGGTCGCGGCATTAGGAAGGTTGAGAACCACTGCTCTATATGATGTAACGAGCATATTCTATCACTCTTCTCTGGGGATTCTCAGGCCATGACTGATCTAGTTTTATATTCTCAGACCACAGTCCTTTTGATTATTTGTGATTTACAAAACTCTGAGTATTCCCTGCATTCTGCTTTTACACTTAGGCCCTTTTGGATTGAAGCAGAATTTAACAAATGCTCTGAGTTTCCACATCTCCTATGCTGTGTATCACAGAAATGAAAGTGGGTGTCACAGAAAATGACAAGGGCTTAAGGCCTAATGACAATGGTAACAACTATAATATAAATAATATACCAGGCAACAACTGAGAGTTGCTATGTGCCAGACCCTGTTGGGGGTTTTAGGTGTATTGGTTTATTTAATCCTCACAAACAGCTCTATGAGGAAGGGGCTATCATTGCCTCCACTTTACACATTAGGAAAGTGGGGCACAATGAGGGTCAGTAACTTGCTCAAGATTACAGAATGAACTGGAAGGGAGTAGAAGAGCTGGGATCTGAGATTCTATAGTTCAGCAACAACAGTGCTACAGTATTTGGAGCAAGCCGGCGAAGCACAGCAAATACCAGATTGACTGTTGCTCTGTAGCTGTGTTCTACCAATAAACCAACATACCCCAAAGGAGTGTACGAAACTCCTTGTACTTCAACGGGAATGAAAGCAAATCTATGAGAAGTTCTGCACTAAATTCACGATAGCTTTTTAAAAGCAGTGGAAATGCAAATGTTGAGATGAGGGCTCGCCACATAAACCATGACACAAGAGACCACTTGTAAGCTCTGCTTATCTGTAGAGGCACCAGCCAGATAGACCAGATAAGAGAAACTGGAAATTGGGTTGATGCCTGTGGCCCTTTTAGGAATAACTTCTTAAAATCCATAATAAGTTCTTCAAATCCAATTTTAAGTAATTCAATTTAAAGAGAATAAAGAAGCCCTCTCTATTTTTCCACATCATCTGATCTTTAATGAAATACCATTTATTGATTTTGACATGGGAGTAATATGAAGTAGCATCAATGACCAGAGTGGGATACTATATCCCATGTTCACATTTTGGCATAGTCTCTCTGCACTGTCCCTCAAATCCATTACAGTTTTTCATCCCCAATCTCATTGCTTCCAGAGCCTACAAAATGGATAACTCCAATGTAATTTTATCTGCCACTGATCTCTCATCTCAAACACTCTGCTGTCCCTGTCCCCTCCCTCACATTTCTATACTATTCCTTGCAGCAGCTGCCTCTGGGTTAGCCAGGAGGAGTCCGTTCTCCTCCCTGGGTTTCATCGGTCTCTCCTGCCTCAGCCCTGAGCATCCATTCTGAGTAGATGATCTTATGACTAGGATGAAGTTCCAACAGAGTTTGGTGGCTCAAATGTCCTGAACAAATGAGAAGAAATTCACTTTGTTTTTCAGAACTTGGGACTCATTTGATTTTCCTTATACAGGAGGCTACAGAAAATGTGACTTGATTGTTTTGGCTTTTGAGGTGCAAAAAACTCGGGTTCCCAGTAAAAACTAATAATCTCCCTGTATTGTTGCTTTCAGATCCAGAGAAAAAGTTCAGAGACACGTTTCTTTCCAGAAAGTGACAAGGATGCCACTTCCTTTGGATGCAGCAAGAACAATACTTTTAATTCTGTCTCCTGACTCTCCACATGATGAAATAAGCAGAGAGAGCAATAAATGAAATTTTAAATATTATGGAAATGAAATGCTCCAATGACATGGATGACAATGGGCAATTTTCACATCACTCAGTAAACTGAGGATCTATTCAGCCCTTATTTATGCCATGAGTTCTTATGAGTTTAACTTAAAAAAATGCGAAGGAATAGAATTTTCACGCTTGGTTTTACAGGAGAGAACCTGCTTAACCTAAAAACTCCCAAGGAAAGAAACTGACTACTCTGATGGGAGAGGGACCATGAACCCATGGGGACTCCTCATTGAGGAGTGAGACACTGTTTTATTTTGCCCCCAATAAAATGTACTCTAACAGAAGTAGTGCAACAACAGTTGGAATGATGCAGCCACATTTTACAAGAAATAACTTTCTTTTTCAAGTATATCCCCCTGGGCACTGGGAAGGAATATCTTTTTGCCTCTTAACTGCTGACTCTGTGACCTGAGAATTGGGTCAAAATGAAAAAATAATCCATAACTCTGTCTTTAATTTGCTTAGGAGAGAAATTGTCTTTAAAATGATATATTGTTTTTTCAAAGTAGACATATGCCTGAATCACAGATAGATGAACTGACTGTGGATGTGCTTTTCCTTAATTAGGATTGCGGTTAAATTTTTCATGTTAGTTGCAATTTCAATTAATATTTGAAGATTGAAAATGTCCAACAACTTCCCCTTTTAAAAAAGTTTTGCGCTTTTTTTTTTGGTCCTTTCTTGGGTTTTTATTTGCTGTCTCTACTCTTCTTGGCTATGGAGAACCTTAATCTAATGTTTTCTAGAATGTCAGTTTTTGAAGAATAATGCAATATTTCAAATCATTTAGTTTTACAAACAATGACACCATGTTAACTATTTACAAATGCTACACCTTTAAAAATAGAATTAGAAACAAATAAGGCAGTGCTCACCGGATCCGAGTTCACGTACTCAATTTTGGGGACCACTTGGGTTAGGTGGACGAGGACACCAATAGAATTCAGAATGTAAGTCAGAAACATGTGCTTATGCATGGTAACCCGTTGGCAGGCAAGATTCCTAGAAGTAAAAGTAACAGCATTAACCAGTGCTAAAATGTTGAAATACTTGGGGGGGAATATTTTGGCAGTATTTTTAATATTCCCTTTAGCAATCGTTGAGAGACTGTATTGAAACAAGTGAGGTTGGTCCCATCTCTAAGACCTCTTACTCCTGAGTTTTTTGTTTTTGTTTTTTTTTTTTTTAAATATATTTTATTGATTTTTTACAGAGAGGAAGGGAGAGAGATAGAGAGTTAGAAACATCGATGAGAGAGAGACATCGATCAGCTGCCTCCTGCACATCTCCTACTGGGGATGTGCCCGCAACCCAGGTACATGCCCTCGACCGGAATCGAACCTGGGACCTTTCAGTCCGCAGGCCGACGCTCTATCCACTGAGCCAAACCGGTTCCGGCTACTCCTGAGTTTTAAAAACAGTTTTCCCACAGCTTTCAGTTCTCAGGTGACTTTGCCCAACAAGTGAAAGAGTGGGTGATAAAATCACTTTTAATTAGAATAAATGTCACAAAATTAATTGAGAGAAGAACTCTTATAGGAGAAACCGTTACAGTTTGGCATGTGCTTCAGATGAAAAGTCAACTATTTATTGATGTAACCAGGCAGAAACTTGTGGCAAGTGGGATAAGAGAGCACGAAGTAAGAAGGAAGGTGGCCTGTGACAAAGCATTGGATCCATGTCCTTGACCCTTACATACACAGCTTTATGAAGTTTCCCCTCATCTTCTCTTTTGACATTTGCTCTGAAGTCTTTTTATCTCTCATAATCCAACTGGAATCAACTTTGTAGTTCCTACTTTCCACAACCTCCTGATGGTGGAGCTCAGGCACAGGCAAAGAATTTTAAATAGGCTCAAATTTGACCTCATTATGAGGCACCCTGTGGTTTGGATCTGTCGATACCTATCCTCGTTGCATAGCCATGTCCCACCTTTTGGGTGCTAAGCAATTTGTTGGATTTTTAAAAGTTCCTTCCTAAGCTTTTAATATGTATTTGTGTGAATGTTCATATGAATAAGCATGATTAAATATCCTATTTCACTTTCTGATGCAAATGAAGAGAGCCTATGGAATGGCTATAACAAAAGTGGAATGATTATCTTAGATAAATGTAAATCTTGTATTTACCATATTTGATTCAGTTAAAAAATGTGTAGCATCATGTGAAAACCTAATGCATTAAGTTAATGATGCTAAAGATTAATAATAATAACTACCCCTAAAAATTATTCATAGAATAAAGTTAGAATCCCAAGAATTTTTATGAAAGATAAAATATGAGGGTAGTCTAGTTTTACTTACAATGCTTTTCCTGTATTTCTAACTCAATTATCTGTAGCAAAAAGTAAGTTTAAGTAATGAGGTCATGTGTTAGAGCACAGTTTGATTATTGTAGCTACATTTTTCAAGTTTTCAGGAAGCACAAGCATCAGTAAATAATACAGAATATTTTAAAATTTGGCACTTGTTGATCAGGAGTGGAATGCAGAATGGGGTTTAGAGAACTGTCTCTCTCTCTCTCTCTCTCTCTCTCTCTCTCTCTCTCTCTCTCACACACACACACACACACACACTATCATGTACTACTTTAGCAGCAGAAAAGTCTGTTAAATAAACCAAACCTAATTGATTTTATAATAGTGCTATAAAAGTAGGTTGTAAATTTAAGGATTTAAAAAGAAAAAAATGCTTTATATGAAACATCATACCCATTTACACTGCATAAACTCTTCCCTACTGCACTGTTAAACCTGTGACTTGCCATTTCCCTTACAGTCATAATGGCATTTTATAATTCTTCTCACTGGGAGGCAAATACCTCTGGTCTCATTATTGGATTCGGCATGGCACAAACCAATGACAGTTGGCATCATCCAGCACGAGGAGTGTGGATGAAGGCATCACACAGTGCTAAGCTCAGGCCTGGTTTTCTGTTAGTCAGGTAGAGTTCAACGATCTGGTGACGTACAACACTGACTTAAAGGACTGGTTAATGTTCAATGTCCTGTGAGAACTGGAACCACCCTGAATAATTTGAATATAATTTCTGCTATTTGTTAAAAGTTTTCTTGCATTTCCTTGATGACGTTTACACTGAACTTTTTGAAATGAGTTAAAGATACTTTAAAAATTTATTAAAATTCATTCAATAATCCAACATACATTACTGTGTACCTGCTATAATTTAGACCTTCTGGTAGATTCTAGGTATATATAGATGAACAAAACAGATAGCTTTGGCCTTCAGGGACCTTATATACTATGTAATTGCTTATTTACTCTTAGTGTGATAATTAATATACTTTTTCTTGCTACTTCATGACTCCCATATATCTCTTATGATTTGCAGAAGATCCCCCTCCCCCGCCCAACTTTTACAGAGTTTTCCATTTATTTCAGTATCTTAAAGAAGAAAGAAAAAGCAGATGCTATGAGGGTGCTTACCTGAAACGCAGGAAAACCCCCAGCGAACTTGTCAAGGTGAGAAGAGAAACAGAGTGTCCCACAACGGCCAAGTAGAACATCATGTATGCATGCTGGAATAACAATAGCAGCAACAACAAAAACAGTTACAAACACAAATGCTGTGAGTGAATAAATGATGATAAAAGGGGGAAGTAGTTTCTATTTTTAACTATCAGTGTAAATCAACAACTGTTTCCCTCCTTTAAAATAACCTACTAAAATTAGAACAAGTATTTCAAAGAATTAAATTATATTGAATTATAATAAACTGGATGAATAGATTGAATATTATGAGATTAAGAATATGCATGACATTGTGGGAAGAGCACAAGACTGGATTTATCTGAGCTGTTCTTCACTCAGAGTATTATTATTAAGTCTTTGTGTACTTTCATAAAGTCAGTCACTTCACCTCTCTAAACCTCAGTAGTCCTGACCTATAAAATAATTTGGTTGGACTAGATGATTTTTAAAGGGATTACATGCTGCTTATAAGAAACAACATTAAATACTGGGATACCGAAATATTGAATGTAAAAGAATGGGAAAAGATGACTCAGATTAACCCTAGTCATAAGAAAACTGGTGTAATATCATATAGGTGCAGATATTAAGTCAGAAAGATATAATAATTTTAAATTTCTATGCACCTAATAATATAAACTCAAACCATATAAACATAAAGCAAAAATTGATATCTCCTAGTAACCAATAAAACACACAGACAAAAATCAAGCTGTAAAGATTTGAATAACATGATCAATAAAATTTACTAATTCACATAATAAACACTGCACCCAACATCTGCAGAATACCATTCTTTTCAGGTGCTGACTCAATATTCAGAGAATATTTATCCAAAATGCCATACACTAATCAGTAAAGCACATTTTAACATATTTCCAATAATTGAGATCTTAAAGACAATCTTCACTGACCAGAATAGTTTAAAAATCATTAATAAAAAGATAACTTTAAAAACACTATCATATTGTTGAGAATTAAGCATACATTTCTAAATGACCATTGGATTAAAGAACTCATAATGACATACCAAGACTTTTTAGATGCAGGTGAAGCTGTACATAGAGGGAAATTTAAAGACTAAAAGGCATATGTGAAAATGAAGAAGGTTGAAAATTAATGATCTAAAGTTCCAACTACAGGAGTTATAGAAGAATTAAACTCAAAGAATGTAAAAGAAATTGTACTGATAAAGAGAACGTGAATATACAATTGAGTGGAATAGCAAAGAAAATTTGGTTCTTAAAAGAGAAACTAATTTTAAATCCCCCTGGAAAGAGTGATCAAGGAAAGAAGCCCCAAGATAAATGAAAATATATGTCAACACAAAGGTTTGCAGCAGCATTATTCCTAACAGCCAAACACTGGGAACAACTCCAGTGTCCATCACCTGGTGAATGTAGTTTACCCACAGAATGGGATACAGATACATGCTAAACATCAACATGGGGAAAAAAGGAAATTGGTGCTTAAGTATCCACTTTAAAAAACACTAAAATGAATGTTCTAAATGGAAAAGAATTAAATATATGTTATTATCTGATTCTATAATATAAGTTAGTTTGGTAGCAGATACTTTGCAGTTATGTATTCATACATATGTGTGTGTGTATATATATACATATACATATATATATATGCATTATCACCAAATACTGAAATTTGAAGTAGAACCTACCTTCATTTTTTCATCAGAGAAAGCGTAACACATACTGTAGTTAGTCAGGGTTTCGTTCATGTCGGCAGTTAGTTCCCAAGTTCCATTTATTTCACAGTGTTTTACAGCCACCTCTGTTAATGAGACATAAGTTATTACTTACCATTTCAAAACAACAAGAAGGAAAAATAATAAATTAAGGCTTAAAATCATTTCAAAGTGTTAATCATTTAATAGAATTTGAATATGAGTATCAGTAAATGGAGACGACCATGAACTTATTAGATTTTGGGATGTTTTATACAAAATGTTTTAATATACGGTGTCTCATTTTAGCTTTGGCAGAGCGCTGTAAAACAGATACTGCTACCTCCATTTTACAAACAGCACAGAGACAGAGAGGTTATGGAATTTTAAAAGTCAGTAGATAGTGGGTGAGCTAGGATTGAATACCAGGTCTTTCAGACTCCAAAGTGTTACCTACACTTTATGTCCTGTTTTTTATTTTTTAACAGACATTAAACTTATGATTTTTGATAGAACTGTGAGAAGAGCAAGACATACTTTTCTTCATTTATATGCAATATTTATTGACTTATGAAACTGCAGTTTTTGTTGGTCAAATGATCAAATATTGGCAATTTCATATGACTAAATTCAACAGAACAAAGAAACCCAAAACTAGGGGATGTATCAAGAAGTCATTTTGATGCCCCTCAAAATAATTTTACTGAAATCATCTCTCTTTGTCCCACATAGAATATATTAGGGATTCATAGATTTAGCTTTCACTATTGACTTTTTACATCATCACCTATGTGATAGTGAAATTTGCTGCTTCAGCTGACATATGAGAGATCTATATATACCTTTGCAATGGGCAGGTTCTGTGCTAACAAGCACTTTGCAGAATTATCTTCTAAATGTTAATGACCATTGAAAGGGGGTATTAGCCTTCCCATTGTACATCTGAGGCCAGGGATCAAATCCAGATCTACTTAATTCCAAAGCTATGGCAGGGCTAGTAAGCTCTGCATTTAACCTTCTAGTCCTGTCCTGTGGAAAGGTTATGTATACTCCATTCCGCTGACCCAAAGAATCATAAATAATTTTGTTGACTACAAGATAGTTTTTAAATTCCAACCTAATTAGCTACACAATTGGAAGAAAAAGTATTCTGAATAAAATAAAATAAATGAACAAGTAAACATTAAAATGAATGCACTTGTCAAATTTAATCTGAGTTATTCAGATTTTCTTTAGTTCTCCAAAGTACCTCTGCAATGTATTTATTGCCTGAGGGATTATATAACAACCATTAATTGGTATAATATGCAAAGAGATTTTAACAGTGTATTTGGAACTCTGGACAAGTTTTGATTTCTGATAATTTCTTAGGGAAAATATTTTTAAAGCATTTTTCTTCATTGACAAAGGCAAAGATCTGTCCCATATATAGATAACTCTATTATACTGTCTTTTTGGGTTTTTGTTTGTTTGTTAGCAGAGAGATGTGGAAGTCAGAATCATATGCTAATATTTGGAGGACACTGACATTGTTTGAAAGGCTAAGGAAACAACTCATGTTAAAAAATTTCACTGAAATCTGATAATATTTAAATAGTTTCTATCAGTAGTTTTGGTAAGTCAATACATATGCTGAAAGTTAGTATAAAAATCTTCTCATCTTTGGCATTTTTTAGATGAAATTTATCATTTTTCTTTGTATTACTGAAATAGTTACTACCAGACTAAACACAAGATTTAATCTGTAAATTGCAGATTTGTTTCTGTGTCTACTCTAACAATTATTTAGACTTTCAATCAAAGTTGTTTTCAAGCAACCCATTAGAATCATCATTGCTTAACGTAAATCTGTTACAAAGTTAAATAGAAAATTTTTGAATTGTGTGCTGAGAAAGCCACTGGAACAAAACTATGTAAAGAAGTGAACACCAACAATGTCTGAAAAAGGGTTAGTACTAACCAGCACAGAGAAATTGACACTGGAAATTGGTCAATGGTTTTGTTAATACTATTTGTCAATGATGACCATTCCAAGCTTACTTGTAATTTTAAAAAGTGGTTTGTAACGTAGCATTTTATTGTCAGCAAGTAGTTTTTTGCTTTATTAAAACAACCATACTTTGGTTTTAACCAAGTTATGTAGCTATGCATGGCAAAATACATTATATGGAGGAGAGTTATCTGTTTTGAAGACCTTCCAATCATGGACAGGACTGTAGGAAATATCATTGCTTTATTTTGATTTAACTAAAGTCTGGATATAGGCATTTCCTGTTCTAACTGTTGCAGCTGTCAACAATTTGTCCTCCTCCACCTGGCAAGTTTTTAATATCTGAAGAAAGAATATGTCTATCCCTTTCTAACCAAACATCCCCATTTACTCACACCACACAGCTTGCTGTCCCCTCACTTGTGTGTGTGTGTGTGTGCGTGTGTGTGCGCGCGTGCGTGCGCGCATATATTGGTATTTCCCTTTAAAATATTCTAAGTTTGGACTGCCCTCACTCTAGATCATTGGTTCTCAACCTTCCTAATGCCACGACCCTTTAATACAATTCCTCAGTTGTGGTGACCCCCAACCATAAAATTATTTTCGTTGCTACTTCATAACTGTAATTTTGCTACTGTTATGAATCGTCATGTAAATATCTGATATGCAGGATGTATTTTCATTGTTACAAATTGAACATAATTAAAGCATAGTGATTAATCACAAAAACAATATGTAATTATATATGTGTTTTCTGATGGTCTTAGGCGACCCCTGGGAAAGGGTCATTCGACCTCCAAAGGGGTCGTGACCCACAGGTTGAGAACCGCTGCTCTAGATTCACAGGGATGAGCTGTTTACAGATTTTTAGGCCCAATCCCCAGAGATTCAAATTTGATTGGTCTAGAGAGGTACCTGGCATCCACATAAAAAAAACACACCTCATTAATTCCAAGGGTATCAGGGTTGAAAATCATTATCCAAAGGCATCTTAGCTCTATGCCATTAATGTTAAGTGTTTGACTCCAAGGACAGGGTCTTAAATATCTTTGTTAAATTTGTTTTTCACTAACATATTCCTTCAGACTATTAACATCTTTTGAATTTCAATACTGTTATCCACTCTTTCATGATCTACCTGTCTTTTACCAAGCACTTCGTCTAAAATGAAATCTGTCATTTTATTAAACTGTTTTGTATATGATCAAGACATAGTTTTGGGTTAATCGTACAATCCTAAAGAATGTAAGTTTGTTGAATTATAGGTATTTTTAAGATGTGCTTTTCTTTTGAAGTGGGTTTGTCCCCCACCTGAGGTAGTTCTATCCAAAAACCAGGCTGAAAAGATGGATCTATGCCTGGAAATCTCTGTTCTGCTGACCAAAAACTTGTCTTTTAGTCAATAATTATAGCCACTTTGGCAGGAGCTCATTGCTGCTTTGGAGCGGGCATTGTAGCCTCAACTGCAGAACAGCTTTTTGTGCCAATCAAGTTACCACTAATGTAGTTGTCGAACAAGATTAATGAAGCATCATTTATCTGGAGGAGTCAGTACAGACCTGGAGGATTACCATCAAATGGCATTTAGTTAGAATTTGCAGGAATGTAATGATTAGTGGGGCACAGGATTAAGCCCTTTCTGTCTTCACATCCCAACTTTTCCATCAAAATGAGAATTCCCAGAAATGGCTGACCTGAACTGGTTTTAAAAATGCCCCTTCCCCTCTAATTTACGTTATTTATGTCTTACTGGAGTAGAATTTAGGACCTCATCTTTGAAGAAAGCACAAACAGCATCTCCCAAACATTGTCTTGAGGTTAGATGAATTTCTCTACTTTAATCTGGATTCCAGAAACTTTCCTGCTTACAGTTATCATCTGACTGTTGTTTTCTGTCTTAACTGATGTCCTCACTGTCAGTCAATAGGCAGTAACTTCTTGCCATTCATGGTCAATGAGTGAGACTAACTAGATGAGCTTGTTGACCCTGAAATGTGGTAGAAACTCTGGCCAAACAACTCAAGTCAAAGTTGATTTTCCATAGCCTCTTAAGTATGACTATTAAGTGAGTTAAAGGGTGAGTATGGTATATAGAGTGGATACACTGGACAACGAGATAATTAATTTCCTGGGCAGGACAGAATAGTGCTGCACAATTGAAAACTTATGAATTGTTTATTTCTGGAATTTTCCATTTAATAGTTTCAGACTAAGGATAACCACGGTTAACTGAAAACACGAAAGCAAACATGCGGATGAGGGGGGATTACTGTAATATATAAGAAAATGTTTTGAAAAGGAAAAAAATGATATTCAATGAAAAGTGTTCCTATGTTACTTTTATAACTAAAGTGAATTTGGTGTCACTATTTTACTAAACATACATTTGTTGACTCTTCATATTGTGCAGGACACAGAGCTGGGTGTTAGTACAATTCATTGTAACAGTATTTGTTTTATTATCTGAGCATATTTTAATAATCTGCTGGAACAAAAATCTGGTATCTATAGTTAACACCTTCTGACTTATTTGCCCTTATATATCATGGTTTTATATAATTTTTATCATTATATAAAATTTCTGTTGGGCATGTTATACCAGCCTGGTATTCACAAACGCTAGATCAAGCATTTGCATAAGTCACTAAAATGTGAGACAATTGAAAACATTTTTAGAAACCATACATTTTAAGAATGGATCACAGTTTTAGAAAAAGTAACTGAATTTTTATTTCAAACTTAATATTTATTATTTAAATTATATAAAAATGAATTTTTATTCAAAATGTAATGGAATTTATGACCAGTGTGCACAGTTGACCAGTAACGTGACTTAAAGTAAGGACAGGTTGTTGCTGGCTGGTGTGGCTTAGTTGACTGGGCATCATCCCGTGCACAGAAAGGTTGCCAGTTCGATTCCTGGTCAGGACACTGCCCAATTGTGGGCTCAATCCCCAGTAGGGGCATGCAGGAGGTAGCAGATTGGTGTTTCACTCGCATACCAATTTCTCTCTCTCTCTCTCTCTCTCTCTCTCTCTCTCTCTCTGTCCCTTTCCCTTCCTCTCTCTAAAAATAAAAAAATTCAAATAAATATATAAAATAAGGACAGCTTGTTAGATTTGTGCAACCAGGTAGTATTTCATTTATGGAAATGTTTCAGAACATGCTAAACTGTGTAGAGTATGACTAGGTATGTATATTTTATATTTGATTTTCTTTTGAGGACCATGAAAACTCTAAAAGCTTCATAGCAAAATATAATATAAAGATAAATATTCTACCTGTTGTATCGAAGTCGGGAAAATAATCTGGGCATTGCTTAGTGACTGTTTTCCCAGCCGGTGTGTCATCCCAGCACAGCCATCCATCCCACATGCGATCACAATACAGACCTGGCCATTTAGAAAGAAATTAGCATTGCCATTGTCAAAAATTGCCTTAGTGGGGTTTAATAGTGCATAGACAATTCCTCTGGGGCTTTTCACTTTGGAACGATATTAAAAAAACAACAGTTGCAGCAGTAGCCACAAAATAATGGTATTAACTTTACTGACCACTAATGGAATTTACATTTTTGTAGTGTTTTCTCCATTTGTTCATCAAAAGGCACACGTCTTCTGTATGGAATCTTTCATCCAAACTCTCTCCTTTAAAGCATCTTTGGAAGTGCTATAAGAAAACTTTTGTGAACGTATATGCACAATCACCCTTGGATAAGCTTACCTTGAAAAAAACGATATGGCTTTGGAACATATGAATCTTACTAACCACTAATCTTCAAAGTGGTTTCCTTGGATGGTTCTATTCCTAATTCAAGGGTGATGAAATGGTTCAAAATTCCAACTGAAGATGCATTTGCATCCAGTTGGATCACATAGAAACAGTCTTATTACTTTAGAGTAACACTTTACTAATGGCTAAAATAATGCTCAGTTTGATCACTTTCTGTATTCATCAATGTTGCCTCCAAGTGGTTTCTCACTGCTTTCAAAAATTAAATCTATCCAAAATATGAAGATTTATCTCTACACAGATATTCAAAAGAATGAGTATTGTGTGAGTATAAAAGGCAGTTCTAAAATAAAAAGTTTTAAATAATAATCAATAGCACAAGCCTGAGGTAACTACTAGTAAGATAGAAGTGAAGGTGACTGCACTCACTTGGTCTCTGAAAATACCATCTTTGTGTTTCTATTGTCTCATTTACTTCAGAGAAATGGTTTCTTTTTGGTGGTGAGTTGCATCTAATGCCTTTTCAGGTTCTTAAAAATACTGAAACTACTTCAGACAGAAAAACCGACCTGGTTTATTGTTTAAACAAATTAAAATTTTAGCTATCTGAAGAAAAACCATGTCTAGTCATAGAGTATATTTAACATCCTCCCCCCCACGAGTGTTCTCTTAGAATATACAAGGGTGTCCAAGATCTTGTTGGCTTTTTTCAAATGATTTAGGGGACGAGGGAGACAATTTAAATGGACGTAGCCATGCTTGGCCATCTACATTCTCCCTTTTGTTTTCCCGTGGGCTCTCTATAGCTAATCACATATGCTTGGCCCTGAGAATATTTGGGCAATCACATACAGCGTTTAGAGAAGGTGCTAGATAAACAATTCTGCCTAGGAGATGTCTTTTTCCAGTTCATCTGGGAACTGGAGGTAGAAAGGGAGAAGGACTAGCATGAGTTATGAACTGACAGGTAAAGACACTGCCTAATTAACCCAAATAAGACCAGGTTTTATCAGGTTCCACCTCAGGCAAATTTTCTGCCCACCGTTTTCCAATTCCCTTCTTGTCATTTTCCAATTCCTTTCCTTCACTTAGTCCTGTATTGTTCCTGCTTGCTAGGTGTGAATACTGTTATTGTAGTAATTGTGTCCTAAATGCAGATGTTAGCCAGAGAGTCTTCGGAGGAACTTGAGCAAAGAAATTAGGCATGTCTGCTGCATATAATGCACAAAAATACTATGGTATGAAAACCACTGTTAAAACTGCTGGCATATTAAATTAAAATTAGTCAATATATATTTACTCACGGAAGAAAATAAACCTTCAATGATATTTGAAACACATATTTACATACATCCTTCTCTTTACCTTGTCCTTGGTATGGGGGTAGTTTTTCCATTCGGTGTAGGCATTTGGCCTCTGCAACCCGCATTTTCCATTTTCCTAATCTGACCAGAAATGAGTCCTCTGCTTTTGGAGCAGCGATTTTGGATTCAACAGAGGAAAGAAGGGTTGGAAACTGTATTTAAAAAAAAGTCAGTTAATTATAGAGAGTATGAATGGGTGTTTACATAAATAAATGAAACAATAAAAAATTTGAAAACATTTATTTTTTCTCCTATAAACAATTATACATAATCTCCATGTGGAATATTTTCACTTTATAACATTCATTCCATTCACTATTGAAAATGTATAGCAGCCATACAAACTCATGCACATCTTTATCATACAGAATTTTAAAAATTATATTACTACTGTAAGTTTAGATGTATACAAATAAAATAACCTAATTTCCAAAAAATATGAATATTAAATCAACTTTGTTGTCTTTGGAACTCTTAAGAATCATTAATCATATTATTTAAACTAGATATACATATTAGTGCACTAAATAAGCTTTTTTATTGGATTTCTTCAGCTGGTTTTTATTTGTGCTTATATTGTGCACACTGCCACAAATTTATTCTATTTATTACATAGAACAAACAAATCTGTTCTGAGATGTTCTGCTTTGAATAACTGGCCTTAATCCCTTTAATTGGTTTAATCAACAGATCACCTATACCGAGTCATTCATTTGCATGGGTGAAAATCAATGTAAATCTTGATTATTACTTTTAGATACTTTGCATTTTTGGTACAGTCTGACATTTGTTTTGTCAGTCTCAATTAATTCTTATCACCATCCTAGGTATTGTTTATCAAAATATTTGTGTGTGTGTGTGTGTGTGTGTGTGTGTGTGTAAAGATCACTGTCTAATTGTGTTCCTAGAGTAGCCAATTTCTTTTGTGGCTATGACATTTTAGTGGTGTTTGAATCTGTGATTTTTTACATCCAGGTTCTGCATGGAGATTTTTTTAAAGAAGACTTGCAAACTTCAGCCTGCACTGCCTTTTCTTCTTCAGAAGTTAGGAACACTCTTTGCCTCTCTATCTGTTGAAACATACTTTTATTTGACTTTTCTCTGTCTCATTAAGCTAACATTGAAGTTTTCCAAAATGTATTGATAGTAAGAAATGGAGTAAAAAAAATTAGATACTAAAGAACCTGGCTAAAACAAATACAAAGTGGTGGGACATGAGAGGCTCGATGCATTTTAGCGAATGTTATTGCAATTATAATGAATTAAAGTTATTTTGTAGCCTTTTGATCAGTGAAGGTTGTGAGTGGAGAGTGTTGGTAAAATTCTTGTGGGAGGCTTCAGAAGTCCAATTGATTAGTTGGGAGAGACCAATCAGGAAGCTGAAGGTATGGGTTAGATCATCTCATAATGGAACAAGAGAGAGCAACTCACAGCATTTTCTCAAAGAATAAAAACATGAAGGCATATTTGAATATAAGAAATGGAGAATAGTATTAGTCAAATAGCCCAGATATTTTAGCTTATATTACTAGAAAAATCTGGTAGGGATCTGAGAAAGGGGACAAGTTGGGAAAGAAAAACCTTACTACCGGGAAGAAGGTAGTTCCCTCTTAGAATTGTTTTGGCAGTGCTAGCAAGCCATCTGAACAGAAACTGTTTGCAAACAGAGAAATTGTTTGCAATAATGTATGTGTAAGAATTATTGGCAATTTTCAGTTACTTATACTTTTCTAAGTAACAAAGGATAAAATAGAACTTTGTAAAGTATTAGTCCTGGTTCTTTGAGGTGGGATCAGATGCCTGGTTAATAGCCTATGTACTTTCCTCTTAAACTGCTGCATATATAATAAATTCAAAGCAAACAGGGGGATCAGCTAAGGAAACATCATCAAAATGCTTCTCATCATTGTTGTTGTCATTATGATCATCACTAGCATTTTTTTGAGCACTCACTATGTGCTCAGCACTGTCCTAAGCCTATTGCATGACTGCAGATAAGGGAGAGGAAGTGAGTGGGTGGTTTTGATGGATGTAGATGAGGCTAATGGAATGTTGTGACTCAAACTGATACTTTAAGGTCCATTTGGAAGCAGTTTGGTAGAATTCAATAAATATACAGGCAGTTTTTTTTTCACAATAATGTGAAGTATTTTGGAGTAATTAAAATCAATGTCATTTTGTTTAAAAAATTTACTTTTCTCTAAGGAGTATCAATGTGGAACATAATGAGTGTTGTGAAAGGAAATTGATGGGTAAAAAAGGTTTTATGGACAAGTCCTTCAAATAAAATATATAATTCAAATTCAGATAGAGAAGGAAATTTCTGTATGCAAAGAGAGCACAAAACCACTGAAGTGGCCTGTGCAGTTATGTTTTGCTAGTGAAAAGATGCCCACAAACCATAGGACATTTCTGTCCATGGCTCATGCAAATGTAAGAAATTCTTACAATCTTTGAATTTTATAATATATCGGGTAAAAGTTTTGAATAAAAGTGCCCTGCTTCAGTTTTTTAACACACCAAAAATTATCTGTAGCCTTCATAATAAAAAAGGTGATGGGATAATACTCAAACTTCCTTGTTATTATCTAGTAGTTACTTTAGCTTTCTTTGTATCATTGCCTAATATAATCATATACTTTATGAAATGAAATTATTTAGAAATATTCACATATAGTGGATCAGATAGGATTTCACTCAATCTATGAAAAATAACAATATCAATATATGAATAGAATATACCTATATTTCTGCATCTATAGAATAGCAATAAGACTCAGACATTTACAGATGAAATAAAATATTCTGATTGTTTCTACAATGTTAAATATTTTTTATTGTATTTCCAATGATATCAAAGTACCTGCATTTCTAAATACTGGATTATACTGTACTTTATCTAAAGATTAAGATAATATGATAGTCTTACATAAAATAAACTATACTCATTATCCAAATAGGTACAAAAAGGGCTATTTTAAGTTATCCCCATAAATCATTTATTTGATGTATAACATTACAAAATAAAAATTCCCTTTAAAAAGTAAATTCACATTTGTAGAATATTAGTAATATTTTCCTTGAGTAATGTGAAATTTATGCAAATCTGTAAGCCAGTGACTACACATTAAAGGACAATGGAAATCATGAAACCCTATGCAAACAGTATCAGATACTAAGTGATATTTGCTGTCAACTATAATTAATTGGCCATTGTTGTTCTGATGTGGACCAAGACAACTCCAAATTTATTTATATAAAATTTACTCATCTCCCTTTTGTGTGCTATTAAAATTATGTGATGGTGGGTTAACAAAGTTGAGAAAAAATAGGCATTGATAGGGTTTTCTAAGACAATTATAGTTCTGATTACTTGCTAAATAATTTAGGAATAAAACAATATAAATTACATAAAATGGACATGATTTAAAAGGCTGGAGAGTTATAGAATGACAGTCGTATGTCAAGACTTAAAACTCTTAGTGAGTTTTTGGTAAGAAATACATTTGGGAATCAATAAACAGACTGAAAGAATTCAGATATTTTAAAAAGAAAGCAGCCCAGATACTATAACTCAAAGTCACATATCTAACATTAAAAACATTTAATCCAAAAACATCATTAATCTTCAATATTAATATCCAAGATAATAAAGAGGTATCTCTAATTAATGCTACGTTTTATAAACCAACAATGCTCACATTTCTGGGTAAACCTAACACTAAACTAAATCAGTGTAAGTTCTGAGGGGAGATTTCTTAGCAAAATTTCAAGAAAATGACAGTTTTGAGGAACTTAATTTGGCTTCTGGAGGGCAATGTTTATTTTGACTAATGTCCATTCACTCATACCAAAAACATTCTTCCATATTTTGGCATTCTTGATTAAGATAGCTTAGAACAATTTTGTGTTACTTACATTCATGAAGATGAAGAATATTAAGCACCAGCGAGTGCTATATGGGATCCGCATGGTTACTTTTGAAGTCGATTTTTTATTTCCTAGAAAAGTATAAAAAGAAAAAAAGACATTTAAATTAATATAGCTATACTACTGAGTATAGTCTTTCTTTCTCTTGTCTTTCTATTTGACTAGAAGAGGATCAATGTCCCAAAACACCCCAAGTAAGAACAGTATGCTTGTAGCTGCATGTACCATTGCCCTTCCTGTCAGCCAGAAAAGATTGTCTGAAGTCCCCCTTAAGGCATTCCGGAGCCACCTGTACATATCAAGACCAAAACAAAGAATTCAGAGAAATCAAGAGCAATCAATGTGGACTTCAATTAACAAGTGGCATCAATAGAACTGCTGAAAATTTCAATGGAAACATCCATAAAGAAGTCAGCTCGTTGGGCATGGACAAATAAAATCTGTGGCTTGTAAAGGATTAAGAGTCATGCCTTCTAGGTAATTAAAGGGCCAACTTTTACTTAAGGAGTCTTATTTAGAGCCTTGAGTATTTTTCTTTCCTATGGTTTTTTCTTTAAGTTTCAAGTTGCTTTTCTCTTTTTTTCTTCAAGTTGCTATTAAGAAAAAAATTTCTTCCACAACAATGAGTGATTGTGTCACCTAAGAAGTCACCATTCTTAATTCAAGACCATGAAAGTCAGAAACAGACATAACAGGTTTTCATGACTGCAGTTGGTTTTACATAAGATAATAAAGGAGTAAAAATGAAAAACATACATGTTTCTTTTCATCAATGGGATTTGTGTTTAAACAATATTTCAACTAGGGGTGAGTAGTTATAATGACATCTAAAACTATATTTATTGTTAGGTATGAGTTAGTATCTACACAGTGTGCCTAAAAGAGTAAGTTGTATTGATTTATGTATCAGTAAGTCTAACATAAAATTGAGAAATGTAAGGTATAATTTTCACAAAACCTTGCTCTATGGAGAACTGGGGAACCTCCAGAGTGTTAATTGGGAGAATGACAGGATTCTTTTTGGAGAAAGGGTTAGAGAAGAGCAATCCTAAAGTCAGGGACAGTCAAGGAGCTGGAGCCTAGGGAATTGGGGAAGACTTCATGGAGGAGGTGACCTGGAGCCAAGAACAGAGATAAGTGTAAAAATATGCAAGGTGAATAAAAGGATGTATGTATATTGCTTAGGGCAGTGATGGCGAACTTTTTGAGCTCGGCGTGTCAGCATTTTGAAAAACCCTAACATAACTCTGGTGCCGTGTCACATATAGAAATTTTTTGATATTTGCAACCATAGTAAAACAAAGACATATTTTTGATATTTATTTTATATATTTAAATGCCATTTAACAAAGAAAAATCAACCAAACACCTCTGACACGTGTGTCATAGGTTCGCCATCACTGGCTTAGGGTCATAAACAGATGTAATCTTAAAAATCATGGAGATAATAACTAGAAATTTTAGAATAACAATATTGTTGCTGAGTGGGAAGGGAAGGGAATGGAGTGAGTGTGGGGAAGGATTTGTAGGCTACGATTAACATTCTTCTTAAACTTAAATTAGTTGGAGACATGGAATGGCCAGGCGTCGTGTTATTTACCTTCCCAACAACCCTCTGTGGTAAATGGCATCTCAGTTTCTTCCTCTTGAGGAAGAAACTGCACCTCAGAGAGAGTAAGAGACTTATTCAAAGTCCTCTATTTAGTAAGGAGGCAGCAACTAAATTCAAACCCAAGTGTTTCTGACTCTACAGCCCATGTTTTCATTTTCCCAGTAACTAACAACGGCTTCTCATTTTAGAAAAGCACTTCTTCTGTTTTATACCAGAATTTGTAAAAACAAAAACAAAAAAAGTTATTCAGAACCTTAAAAACATACATAACACAGGACTTTTAAAATTTAGATGAAATCAACGACCATTTGGTGAGTATAAACGGGGGGAAGGGGGAAGCCTTCTGCTTAACTTCTGCTTAATGAAATCCAGCTGGAGACCCTAAACTATTTAAGATAATTGTGTTTTTGATAGTATGCATTACTATGGCTCACACAGACCACCTAAAAAGTCTAATTAAAAAGCAGCTCTCGTTCAGAGAAAGAGGCTCTTCGATGGACCTGGATGAGCTGCATGTGGTCTGGCGGCATCTGCCCCTTTACACCAGCAACAGTACTGGACCGTTCCCTGGGAAATTACCTGGTTCTAAAGAGCACTCATCAAATTATTTTTCCTCCCTAAATGGAAACACTGACATATTTACGAAAACCACTTTCCTTCCAATGTAGGATTACTGTCCTTAGGGACCAGCATCAAATTAATAGGCAGTAGAGACTGCTATGTAAGAAACAAAATATTTAAGGCAAACCAAAGGCCCCATGAAGGCCAGGAGTGACCATTAACACTCGCTGAATACATGTTCATTTCTAAATCCAGACACACAGCTGCTGCAAGAGACAGATGCTCCCCCATAATGGAAAGTCAGAGATGGGGCCTTCACCTGCTGGTGAATCTTGACTCCCCCTCCTGACACTGAGCTTCTAGGATGGTCTCAAGCTAATGCTGACTTCCAAGAAAACTGGGATATGAGTAGTCCCCAATTGGAAGTCTCGAATGTGCCACAGAAGGTGTGAAATAATTTTCAAGGAAGATCAAGTTAAATCAATGTTAGAATGAAAAAAACAATCTTACTAACAACATCTCCTCAGAGTAAAAGTATATATGTATTTATTTGTTAAGACATTCTGTTGAATACAATATAGTAGAACCACTGGATTCTCAGAGAATAGCTGGTTAAAAAATATATTTCTTTTGCTTTTATATTCCATTCATGTGAGTTGTTCTCATGTTTTATTCTTGAAATTTCTATATATGTTTTAAAAGGTAGTATTTCCTAAAATATTGTGTGTTTTTTTTATTTTTTAGTAAAACTTCTTCAACTTTCCACACGGCGTCGTGATGTGACCAAGGTAGGTGTGAGTTCCTGCTATGGCATTTATGAGCTTCATGACCTTGGGGAAGTCAACCCATTTCTCTGAGGCTCCATTTTCTCATTTGAAAAATAGGGATCATAATGCCTGTCTCGAAGTGTTAATGTGAACTTCAAGGAGGTTGGATTCATAAAGCATTGGACATGCAATAAGCATTCAGTATTCAGACACCTGTTTTATTGTGAGCTGGGCATGTTCTATTTTTCCTTGAGGATAAACTAGAATTTAAGACTGTGGTCTCTAGAAAGCCTAATAGGTCTGGGAAAGGACCCAGATACAGTCAGGAAAGTAGAAAGTCCTTAGAAAGCTTACAGAATTAAGATAATAACCTTGATCTCTTTGTGCAATAAGATTATTAGAAGAGATTCACATTTATGGGATAGTTTTTATGTGTTCTTAGTAAGTTTTTTCCTTTCCTGATTATAATTTTTACACATCACCCTCTGTTCATACACAAATGATCAATCTTTTATACTATCTTCTGTCATAATTATAAAGGGGAATATTCAATGGGATCTTAAAATTATCCAGATTTTAAACTAACCTTTTAAAATACTCTCACATGATAGACTGAGGTTATTTGGTCGGTTTTCCATGTGCCCCGTAAATATCCATATCACCTTAAAAAGTGGTATCTCATCAACATTGAAGAAAAAATTTGCAAATAACAATAATAACAATGGTGATATCTAATATTATTACATTGACTGTGTATTAGCAATGTTCAAAGTGCTTTATATATGTTGCCTCATTTAATCTTCACCCTCATTTTACAGTCTCTCTCTCTAATGTCTTCAATTTGTTACCCAACCATTATTTGAGTAAATGTTTCATGTCTTCAACTAGACTGGGAGCTCTTTGGGACTTATTCTATTGGTCTTGGTAAGCCTCAATTAGTGCTTAGTAGAGTGCCTTGAATAAAACAGCACTTCAAAATTACTAGCAAATGAGCACAACATTCCCTTTAATTTCTTTTTTAAACCTAGAGATCATTCTGCATTTTTAAGTTTAAGCCAGAATAGTAAAATAAAATTTAGGTTAATATAAAGAAGTTTCCAATAAGTAGATATTAAAAATCCAATATCTAGTTCTAATATATAAAACTTGATAATTAGGTAGGTTTCCTTTTGACATAGTAAGTTTCTAGGATCTCAAATCTAACAAATATGCATATTACTCCCTAAATTTTTTTTTAAAATAACGGATGCCCATAATTTATAGAAATTTATTCTAGATAATATAATTATAACTCCAAGACTCTGATTACGGCACTCTGTAATTATGTTTCCTATTTCCATACTTCAATATTTTTCATCATAGAGGTAATAACCACTCAAATAAAATGAAAAGTATATGTAGAAGGAAGAAGAACATTGGCTATAGTCCCACGACCCCAACACAACCACCTCTAATATTTTGGTCTATTTTTCCCAACATTTTGTACATATATCTATAATTTCTGCTTTCAAGTTATAATCAAATTACAAACTTGTATCTCATGTATTTTATTTGTTTATTTATTTTATTTCTGCTCAAGGAGAAGAATGCTTTTCTAGCCCAAAGTAAATAGATTTAATTTCAAGTTGTCCCATAAACTTATTGATCATGTTACTTATATTCTCCTTTCACAAGAAGCTCACATATGCAATTGATTTCACAGAATTATCAAAACATTAGATTTAGATAAAATAAAAATTGTGTATGTTCATAATTTTTATAAATATCTGTATCTTTAAACCCTTTGCCTCTAAGTAGATAGTGAGACCTACAACCTTTTCAGAAAATTCATTCCAGATACACTCATACTAAAGCCTGCTGTAAAGTGTCGTTTGTGTCCTTATTGGTTTCTACTATAAAACCGAAATGTTTAGGGTATGTGACTTCTGCAAGTGTCAGTCTCCTCATCTTTAAAAATAAAAGAGTAATATAAGTATTTACCTTATAAGGTTGTTTGGAGAATTAAAGCAACATAGAGAAGTGCCTGCACACACACAAAGTGCTTTATAAACGTCCATTATAATTACTATGACTGGGAAAATCTTGAGGCTGAAATTGTTTTTTGCAATACTAATCTGTTAGAAGTCACTTAAACAATCCTATCTTTCCTCTGTTCTACATATTCCTATCTTCTCATTTGACCAATTCAAAATATATGTTAAGAAATGACCTTTTAGCAGTGACTCCCTGCTGTAATTTTCTCCAGGGATTTGAATTTTTTACAAATCTGGACTTAGTATCATAGAAGTTGCTAGGCTACTAGGGACTTGCAGGCTATCCCAGAAGCTACCTGTTTGGATTTCTCAGAAC